GCTTTGCCTCCGATTAACACATTCTCGGGTTTGAGGTTTCGGTGAATCACTGCTGGACTCAAATCATGCAAATGTTGGACACATTTCAACAGCTCTGCGAATATTTGACACGAAATGAAAAACTCCGACGAATTCATGGCCTCTTCGGCCGATCGGCGGCCAAATGCCGGGCCTTTGAGTGACAGAACTGTCCGTAAACTGTGTGAACACAACTCCATTCGTATGTAATATCTCTTGGCTTCTAACCAGATGTCATTGTATTGAACCACTCGATTGGATAAGACTTTTGTCAATTTATTCAACTCTTTCAATTTAATCAGATCGCATGTTTGATCGATTTAAATAAATTGTGATCAGAAAAATAACGCGATTAGATAATTACGTTGTTTAATAGTATAGAACTTAGCGTTCATATAAAAATATTTAATTTACCATGATAATTAACAATATTGACAGCGTATTCTTTTTTCAAGGCCAAAACTTTCCAGATCCAATACAGACAACTCAAATATCAATACGATATTTATAAACATTAATTTTCGCGTTAATTTGGGCTAAAAAATAATTTACTAAAATATCTATTTTGATTAATTAATTGCTTAAATCATATCATCTGTTGATTGTTTCAGAAATAATATATATTTTTGTAATTAATGTAATTATTATTATACTTTTTAACTATATATAATAATTTAAAAATTATAAATAATAAATTAGAAGTTCATTATTCAATTACTTATGTTAAATTTAAATAAGTTTTATTAAATAAAACAATTAAATAAAATTTATTTAATTATACACTGTCGTAATCTTTATGGTTATACTACAGTCATAGAGTTGAATAAATAACATGATCATATGAAAGAGAAACAACCAAACGGCATTAAGTACCCAATGTATTTCCTATGGACAATGAGTAGTAGTCATAACTCAATAAGTACTGGACCAATTTTTACAATCTATATATCAAATTGTTCAGAATAAAATTTAATTTGAGACCAATATCAGGATTTTTCCTATAAATGAGAAGAAGCAAACTTTACTCATATTTAAGAGGTAAAAATACAAGAATTTAAAACCTTGCCATTTAAAAATACTTATTCAATTTTAATTATCAGTACATCAAATTAGTTCAAATTAAGAATATGGTATGATGATTTTTTTAAATTTCAATATTTTAATCTTAAGCCTTGGTATTGCACATAAAATTAAAAAATAAATTTTAAATATCTTTACAATTGGAATTTTTAAAAACTAAAAATTTATATTTTTCTATTTTCAATTATGACTAATTTGATGTACTGATAATTAAAATTGAATCAGTAGTTTTTAAATAGCAAGGTTTTATATTATTGTATTTTTACCTCTTAAATATGAGTAAAGTCTGATTCTTCTCATGTATAGAAAAAATCCTGATACTGTCTCGAATTAAATTTTATTCTGAACAATTTGATATATAAATTGTAAAAATTGGTTTAGTATTTATTGAGTTATGAATACAACTTATTGTCCATAGAAAATACATTGGGTACTTAATTCCGTTTGGTTGTTGTTCTTTCATATAATAAAATATGCTTTAGTTCCAATGTAAATAAAGTGAATATAATATTATATTAAACATGACATCATATCAAAGATTTAATGAAATTCTTTGTTTTGTATTTGTTTCCAATGGATTTTTATCAAACTTTTGCTTATTCAACGCATTTTAATTCAAGTGTTTTACTGATATTTACGACACAATTATGATAGATTACAGTTTAAGAAAGTTTTATATAATCAATATATGAAATATCGTTGTGATATGTGTAATATAGTTTTATATTAATACGAGTAACATATATTTTAAAATGTTTATTGCTTTACTTTTAAATATGTAAATTTCAGTTTAAAAATCTATTTTTTAAGCAGTTATTTATAACTTATATTAAAGCTGCGTTATTATTACAATGTGCGATTCAATAAATTTGTTTTTAATTAGTAATGTAATTCCTGATAATATTAAATATATTATTATAAAGTTACATATTTTTAATGATATTTATGAAAAAATTAATGTTTTAATGATAACAAATGATGATATGGTCTATGGTTTTGGCAATAATGGTGAGGGATGTCTGGGGTTGGGACACAACCGACCCATACAATTACCACACCTAATACCACAATTATGTAATCAAAACATACAATACTTTGTTAATGGATGTGATTTTGTATTAGCAGTTAATGAGTTAACAAAAGTGATTTACAGTTTAGGTAATAATAAGTGGGGCCAATTGGGCCGCAATCCTAAATCAGGATTTTTTAATATAATAACTAAACCAACTTATGAATGTCAAATACCAAAGAAAATTCCACATATGGATAATAAAACGATTTCACAACTTACTTGTGGTACTCATCACACATTGGCCCTCACCGGTGATGGCCGGGTGTATGCCTGGGGTAGCAATATTTGCGGACAAATTGGTTACGGATATAACTATGATTATATTTACACACCATATGAGATAAAATTTAAGCATTATATTAAATCAATTTATTGTTATTATAACTCTTCGTTTGCTATTACATCTGATGGCCATGTCTTTAGTTGGGGTGACAATAGTGGCCACCAATTAGGACACAATATAATTGATAAAAATATATTAAAACCCCGATTGATATCAAGATTATATGAAATAAAAAGTGTCTGTTGTAATATTTGCGGTACATATTTCTTGACATCCGAAGGGGTTCTACATTTTTATGGCAACTGTTATGAAAATAGTAATGAAATAACAATAATAATTCCGAAACAAATACAAACGCAAAAATATACCCAAGACTTGCAACAATTTAATTCGTGGGTTAGCCATACACACGAAATTGTATGCATTTTACATAACGACAAAATATATAAATTATCCAAACAACACAATTTACTTGAAACAAATTATAAATGTTTTACCGATTTTTACATCAATGAATATCAAATAACTTACAATACAATTAATGTATTGCAAATTAATACAAATGCTAATTTAGACAATAATCACAGAAAAAATGATTTTGAATTAACTGAAATTGATGGAAGTACTCATGGCAATAGTTATCAACTATTCACTGAGTTGTTTACAATAGGTTCGGGTGCTTTTGGGACAGTATTTAAAGTAAAACATAAATTGGACGATGAAATATATGCTATTAAAAGGGTGCGATTTTCAGGTAAAAATTATTTTAAACTGTGTCAAGAATTGTCCTGGTTATTATTTATTTAAAATTGTGATTAATGAAATTTTATAAAATAGAATAGTTATGTTTGTAATAACAAAAAAAATATCTAACCAAAATTATACAATAAATTTACAGAATTCAATGAAGAAAAGAAAGATCGTATTATGAAAGAAATGAAAATATTATCAAAACTGGACTCAAATTTTGTAGTCAAATATTACAACTCGTGGAACGAAGGGAAGTATATTTACATTCAGATGGAATACTGCCCGCAAACACTCGTCTCTGTACTCAAAGACAAAGAAGATGTATTTTGTAGAAAATCATGGGAACCCATGACTGTGTTTGAATTTTTCATTTGTTGTGAAATATTTAGGGAACTTTTGGAATGTATTCAATATCTTCATGGATTGGATCCGCCGATCATTCATAGAGATATAAAATCGCATAACGTTTTAATTTCCCAAAATAACAATAGATTTTTAAAACTATGTGACTTTGGTTTGGCTACCGATCACAGGGGGTTATCCATGAGCCACACTCTAGGCGTCGGGACAGCAAAATATATGGCACCAGAAGTTGGTTTTACCACAAAGTATGACATTAAAGTAGATATATATAGTCTTGGAATAATTGGACATGAATTGTTTGGATTCTTTGAAAAGTATGAAATTAATTTAATATTTGAAAACTCATGTACGCAACTTTAATTATTTTGGTGTTTTAAAACTAATTATACAACTGTAATTTAGACTTAACATTACCCATTGACTTAGTATTACCCATGTTATTTCTATGCCATTTACTTAGCATTACCCATGTTATCACTATGACATAGACTTAAGCTGTAATCCCATGTTAAATTTCATAAGGTGGGGGCCGGGGGAGGGGTAGCCGAACGATCCTATAAACCACATTATCATACTGAATTGTGGTTAAAAATGTTTATATCTTTAATTATAAATAATGGCATCTATAGAAATAATAATAAACATTATTTAATGTAACATTATAATGTATCATTATAACTACTAAATACGAACCTTTTAAAATTCATATTATGCGCCAAGGTTAAAGTCAATCAAACAGTGTAATATACAGGCCAATCACTATTAACAGAGAAAATTCTTATTTCTTAAGCTATTTTGTAGCTATGGGATATTAGATCTAATTATATTATCTTTAAATTACATTAATATCAGTAATATCGATTAAATCGTTTTTAAATAATGATACATTTAAAGTTGGCGTGAATGCATTGTGACACGCTATTTGTAAAAATAAATATATTTATATAATTTTTATTTACACTAGTGGGAATCCAACTGAAACATATGTTCCAACAATATTTTTATCAAAATATGAAAATTTATACGAAACTACACAATCAATGCTTCACGTCAAGGGGTCCAAAAGGCCGAACAGTACTGAAGTGCTACTGACATACAGCCAATGGTCGGTCGATAAATCGATTGTCACAACTAATACGAATTTTGATGAAATTCAAAATTTACTAAAGTCTTATGAGAATAATTTTTTTTACAACTTTTTATTGTGCAAATTAAATAATAGAGATGTATCATCTGTTAATAAAAATCACAATAGTAAAATATGTGATGATGGTATTTATCATAACCAATTCATCGAAGAATCCACAATAGGGTCTGGTGCTTTTGGAATAGTATATAAAGCAAAACATAAATTAAATGGAAATATATTTGCTATTAAAAGAGTACAATTTGAGGGTAAATATCATAAATCATTGGTTTACATTTATTTAATATGTAATTGATAACCTTTGCAAAATGTTCATAGATTATAGTGATGATAAAAAACGTAAAGTTATAAAAGAAATTACAACATTACCAAAAATGAATTCAGAATTTGTAGTAAAGTATTACGACTCATGGCTTGAGTCCAATCATCTTTATATTCAAATGGAATTCTGTTCGCAAAATCTTCGATCTGTTCTTAAAGACAAACCCATAGTCTTTGGGAGAGACCCGGACGAGCACATGCGCAGTGTATTTGAATATTTTATTTCATGCGAAATATTTCGAGAACTGTTAGAGTGTGTCCAATATCTTCACGAATCGGACCCACCGATCATCCATCGAGATCTGAAACCCGATAACATATTAATTTTACACAACATTAGTTCCAATCGTTTTATAAAAGTGTCTGATTTTGCCACAGATCACAACACTAATAAAAACATTGTTATCCGGAATGACCAATCCGGCGCAGGCACCATTGGATATATGGCACCTGAAGTATTAGCTGGTAAAGCATATAACCATTTATCAGACATTTATAGTCTACATACAATTGGTGCAGAGTTATTTTGTATTGATTTTCAAGCGTGAGTATTTTTTTATGTTGATTTCATATTTATGTTGTATAAGTTAGTGTTTAATATTTAATTATTTATATTGACTTTATTAATTGTATGAAATTGTAGAACCCAGTCATTTGACGACATTGATTTCATATTTAAAACAAACATATTATGCATGTATGAAATGCTTCAGAAAATGATGTCAATCGTGTGGAGACAAAGACCTGAATGTCGGGATGTGTTGGCCAAACATCAAGATTGGTCTATCGATAAGATGATTATTACTAATAATAAAGATTTCAACAAAATATTATCTATACTTAAATCTAATGATAATTCATTTTTCTATGAATTTATGTTATGTAAAACAGATCATTTGTGAAATAAAAACAAATATAATATTGTCAAAACAAAATAGTAATTATCAATTATCAATAATCATAAGTGTTTTTATTTACACAAATGTGTAAACCGTATAGGAATTATACATTATAAATGGGGGGTCGTATATTAAATGCAACATTCTTGTCAATAATTATTATGCGGTTAAATAACATAGTAAACAAAAATCTTACAACGGTGCTATGCTTTAGGCACAATTGGGGTATTACTCACACACAGCGATGCTATACGTTAACCACAATTGGGGTATTACTCACACCAAGCAATGCTATACGTTAACCACAATTGGGGTATTACTTACACACAGCAATGCTATACGTTAACCACAATTGGGGTATTACTCACACACAGCGATGCTATACGNATGCTATACGTTAACCACAATTGGGGTATTACTCACACACAGCGATGCTATACGTTAACCACTATTGGGGTATTACTCACACACAGCGATGCTATACGTTAACCACTATTCGGGAAATGCATCAAAGATTTTGAATTTTTCAATACTATTGTTAGAATACTTTCGCTATTATTTAGAGAATTTTAAATGTTTTTGACAACAATTAGTTTTATTTATTATGTCAGATTCATTGATAATCCCATTGTCCCATTGATATACCATAGACTTATCATTGTCCATAGACTTAGCATTACCCATGTTAAAGTATAGCCATAGACTTATGCTGTAATCACATGTTAAATCCCATAGGGTGCGGGGGTAAAGAAGAAGGTAAAGGGGCAGCCGAACGATCTTATTAACCACATTATTCAAGTCAGAATAGTGGTTAAAAATAATTAAATAATCTAAATTATTTTTATTGAATAAATATTTCAATTCATGAATCTAAATACATAATAATAAATTACAATTTAATCAATTTAACGGTTGTAATATTTAAAGAGCTGATTATATAAGTAAAAAAGGAAAGGGACATTATTCATAACTAAATTATGGTTAAATATATACGATAAATTTATTACAATTAAAATAATTATTTTAATTTACATAATAAAAAACGATAGAAAAATGTGTTGTTATATAATTTAAGTGAATTTTGAATGTCATTAAATTTCTGTCTGTTTTCCGTAATTATATGTTTATTAATTGACCAGTTACTGTATTCATCTAGTACGTTTGCTGTGGTCGGACGTTTAGTTTGGTCGCCATTACTCATTTTTATTATAATATCATAAATATAACTATATTGTCCCGAATATGTAGTGGAAGTATAGTTAACATTTGGTTGTCCACTACAAGAATTAAAAAGTTAAAAATTATATTTCATTGCATTATTTTGGTTGTTTATATAAATCTAATTCTTACTTAATTATATTAAATATTTTGTGCCCGATATATCCCATACTATAAACATCAGTCATGTGGTCATAATTTCTTGAAAACTTTACTTCGTTTGACATATATTTCTTAGATCCCGCGCCTTGACTGTGAGTTTGTGATGATTTCTCATGATACACGGCAAGACCTAAATCACCTAATTTCATAAAACGACCATTCTTATTGTCATCTGAAATCAGTATATTTTCCGGTTTTAAATCCCTATGTATTAACGGTGGAGTGAGTTCGTGAAGGTATTTAAGACATTCCAATATTTCCCGAAATATTTCACACGAAATGAAATACTCATAAATATTCATTGTTGCCGACGGTTTTCTTTTAAATATTCGCAATTTATCTTTAAGTAACGCTCCGAGAGTTTGCGGGCAGTATTCCAACTGAATGTATACATTTATATTTTCTTTCCACGAGTTGTAATACCTTACCACATATTCTTGGTTCAATTTATTAAGATTTCTTATTTCATTCAATACTCTTTGTTTAGTTTTCTCATTTACTTCTATTGTTAACAAATTAATGTTTAAAATATATAAAGTAATAACAAGAGTGTGGCTTTAGTAAAGAAAAATAATTACCATCATATTGAATTTGTTTGACAGCATATAATTTATCCTCCAAAATATGCCTCACTTTATATACTGTGCCATAATTCCCTGATCCAATAGGTTGTATCTCGGCAAACTGTTCATTAAAATGCGAATTGACCGATGATTTAAGAATATTTTGTATCCTATTATCAATGATTGAATCAGTATTTGTTTTACAAATTAGAAAATTAAAGAAAAATTTATTTTCTTTAGATTGCAGATTGTGCAATGTTTCCATGAATTCTTTTTCAGTTATGATATCTGATTTATCAATTGACCACAAATTAGAGTCCAGTAATATTTCGGTTGTTGTGGGGCGTTTACTTGATTTAGATAAAGTCATATTTTCAATCGTTTCACAAAGTTTTGTATATTCGGCAAAAAATCGTATTTCTGGATAATTTGCGATATCGCTAACAAAAAAGTCAAACAAGTTAATTTTATCTTGTATAATTAATTGTAACAGTAAATCAAATTAGCCACATCTTAATGTATATGAGCAGCGTATAGCAGAGCGTGCACATCTGGGCATTCGCGGGCAGAGCTACAATGTATTTCCTATGAGAGCATAGAAGCAAAGTATACTTTATGGGTCGTCCTTGACAGACCCTGTATATGAGTCTTAATTATACCATAGTCACATTATAGTTTTATTGTTACTATAGAAATGAGTAGAAAGTGCCCACGTTAACTCAACGACAAATATAACAAGGCAACCATTTTAAATTATTTTCATAATATTAACATTACTCATTCTCGTGCATTTAGCTTTCGCATTTGAATTATATACAAATATGATTAACATTAGTTATTGTATAGCATTTGTTAAGTCTATGGAAATATCTCCATATTACTAGCCTTACCAATGTTAATTTTATTTATAAAATTATTATATCACGTAAGAAACGGGATTGGTAGAGGGGATCAAAAGAATTATATATAACATAATTTTATACTTAATTGTTGTTAACAAATAGTACAATTATTTGTTTAATTCGTTTTTCTACTTTAAAATGATGCTATTATCTAATGATAATTACCATTCATAATAATGAATCAATCCGAATGCAGTTATTCCAAGACTGTAAACATCAATTTTATTGTCATAATTACCAAACGAGACTTCAGGCGCATTATAATTAGATTGACCAAGGTCTGTTCTATGGCTCATAGAGGGTCGTTCATTATCAGTGGCCAAGCGACACTCGCCAAGTTTAATAAATCTATTAGAATTACTTGCATTTAATACCCATAAATTAAAAGGTTTAATATCCCTGTGAATAATATTTTGGCCATGAAGGTATTGAAGGCATTCCAAAAGTTCGCGAAATATTTCACAAGATATGAAATATTCAAACACATTCATGGGTTCCTTCTTTTGTCGCTCGAAAACATTGTGTTTAACATCTAATACAGTACTTAAGGTTTGGGTAAAATAGTCCATATGAATAAAAAGATACTTCCCTTCTGTCCATGAATGGTGATATTTAATAACAAATTGAGGATTCAATGTAGGCATGATTTCCAATTCTTTGGTAAATTGTTCTTTATATTTTGAGTCCGTTTTATTTAAATCTATAAATAAAAAACATTAAAAATTATTTTTAAATTAATATTTTATATTAGTTTTACCGTTAATGTGCACTTTTTTTACGGCACATTCGTTTTTAAACTCTTTGTGCGTTGCTTTGAAAACGGTGCTGAATTTACCAGCACCTATTTTTTCAATGTTAGTAAATTGTTTCTCAAATATACCATCACCCTTTTTAATTTTGAATTTATCAAGAATTTCTTTAATATTAAAATTCATTGTTTAAATTTTAATTATAATAAAATTATTAACGTTAGTTTAAAAGATCTTAGACAAAGTATAAATATATATTATAATATATTTGCTTATTTAAATACTGACAGTTTGCTAAATAGTTTTATAATCAGAGAAACTATTGGAAACACAGATTTCAGTGAAAGTATTTCATATAATAAAAGATAAAATATTAGTAGATACATTATTTTAAATGAAATATTCATAAAGGTTAGATACTTATGTCATAAATTAAATATAATAATAATGTATTTAGCACCAATATTTCCATAATAAAATATAATAAAATATTCATAAACAAGGATCACACGCGATGCTATGCGTTAACCACAATTCGGGA